ATGCTTCGTGGAAGCTGTTGCGCCTTCTATCGATGACGTACCCACAATCTACCACGGGGAAGTGTTCACGGATCGAAAAAGTCATTTCCAAGCTCATCTCGCTAGAGTTAGCAGTAAAGAAGAAGTATGCGGATTTTTTCCAGAAATGTGTTTAGGTGATAACTGTACAGGTTTATTTCAGGTAAAACTAGTGCTCGATCGTTTGTATGAAAATTCGAAAATTAGCCGTGCAACTCACAATATATATGCTTATAGAATTACTGAGGAGCGAAATGGACGTGAAATACGGTAATGTCTATTATTCAGTTTATTTTTACTGCTAGAATATTGTTTTTGGTTTTTTCGAAAGGGAATCGATAGTGCCACAGGTGTGTATTGATAGTTCTACGTTGAGACAAGGCGTTGCTAGCGCGACACTCGCAGGAGGATCTATCTGATTCAAAAGGACAACATTGGACGCTAACGTAGTTCGTGAAGGGAGAGGAAAGGAGCGACGTGTCTGTTGGTCTGGCTCAACCCCCAATCTGCAATTTACTTTTCTGGAATCTTGTCAAAGAGCCGCTATAGTTCAGAACGCCTTCTGATGGCGCGACAAATTTTGCTCTTCTGCATCCTGGAACGTGGCCGCATCCAGATCCTTGTTGTCTGCGCTCTTCTAGGTCTGAGTATTGGAAGCGGAAGACGTCACATCATCGCCCCTCTGGTTGTGGCCCGAGCTGGAGGTGGTGTCGTGACAAGTGGCGCGTTACCACTCGCGCGGCGCCGGGTTCAAATCCCGGGTCGACTCCCGCCCAGGCCAACCAAGCCCCTCCGGGGACGGTAAATTGGTACCAGATTCGTCTGGGAGGATAAAACACTGACTTGTACATCGGCTGGCCCCGCAAGTCATTGTATAGGCCACATCGCATTCAATAAGCCACTACGATTCTGAATGGAAGTAGAATGCGTGCCGCATCCCACAAAGGGATTGATCAACGGCGAAGACTTTATCCTTTTATTTTTTAATTGTGGCCCATATCAAGTGCAACGGCTACCATTTTGATAGACCTCTTGAATGTTTTTCTATAGCAGTACACTCCTTATCCCTGAGACGGGGTAGGCGTGGCATTCGAACATGGCACAGAACTGGTTACTCGTGGGATATTTCAATTTGAGACAACCGCCATCTTGTTCTTTGTTGGACAGAGACGTGACCACATTTGGGTCAAAATGAAAATAAAGCATAATTACCACGGTATTCAGTTGAAATACGCAGCCACGCCTACCTCATCTCAGGGATTTCGGGTGTAACTTTGGATGAAATACCAATGCTTCTGAACCCTACTGTTTTTGCTACCATCTTTTTTACCCTGTGAACTAGAACGATCTCGATTTTTTTAATGTCACTGGGAAGTGTTTAACTCGAAGCAATGCCGTGACGTGTCTCTAATCAACATCTCAGGTATTTTAGGCTGCACGATTGTTTTGACGACGGAGAGACTGGTGCTAGTTCTAAAATGCTTGAACTTTTGGACAAAATGGGAGCCACCAATGTTCTGGTACGTGATCTTTAAGCAATTCTAAACACATCGTGTGCTTATTCAAGGGCTAGCAACACAATCTGGTACTTTCCTGTCTGTTCGTCTAAACTCCGCCATTGCGCTAGCGGCCAGCGCCGATCGATACCAGACTGCGGCTGCGTTCGCGTCTATAACAGTGGAGCGCTGTTGCAAATGCAGCGCGTCGACGCGCGTCACCGCGAAGTCTAAACGCTGCTAAAAGACCTCTGTGGTTTCGATCGATCGAACCCAGCGAACTATATCTCGCAAGCGGCACGAGGTGGTCGTATGGCGTGTCGAATGGTGAGCGGAAACAACAGAGGCACTAAACATTCGCGCAAAGCTCCAGCTCATTTTCCGACGCATATTGGAGTTCGATTGGTACACGTCCAAACGGGGGGAAGGGGAGGGAGGGGTAGACTGCCCCACATTGTGCACGAAATCGATCCACAGTTCTTGAGGATGTACAGTGTGTCTTTAAGGCGCATTGCGAATTAGATTAGATTTGCTCTCAGGTGGTTGTGTCACGTTGGTATGGAGGTATCCATCTTGGGCCAGACCGTTTTCGTCATATTAACAATCTTACACGTGAAATAGTATCTATGCATGGACTTGATTCACGATCGTCGAGCACGTAGTTCAGAATTATATGAAATTTCGTCTCTAAACTCCCGATTGAAAGTGATTTTTATCCTTCATGTGAACGGGAGTTACCGGGGTTTATGCTCTATAATTTATTTACTATCGTTTTAACCTATTTAACTGCTGATTCGAATTTATTTGTTGGGATATGTAGAATTATAAGTTTAATTGTACAAGTTCTTTACCTAGTCTCCTGGAGGAGTAAATTTCAAACTGTGTTGCCAAATAAGTTTGTGATTATTAAGTAGCTCATGGGCATAGTAGTTCTTTCATTTTCATACTAAAATCGCGAATGTTTATGTGTTTATCGTTTCATACATACTCGATATTACCTGTTTTATTACGTTTAACGATTGTAAATTTGGTATAACTGTGTGATGTTGCATTTCCCTGTCCTATTGAAGGACTTTTTTATGTCAATAGTTGGTATGTAATGGAGCCTGCTGATTGTATGTTGTG